ATATATATATATATATATATATATACATACACACACACATTCTTTTAGACATAAGAATATGTTTAACTATAAGAGGTCTAAAACAGGGGATGGTACACTATGACCACAGTTCAAATCCAACTCATTGCCTAACTCTGTACAGCAAGTTAAGAATGGTTTTTAAATATTATAATTGTTTTTTTTTTAAAGAATACTTTGTGACATATGGAAAGTACATGACATTCAAATTTCAGTGTCCACAGATAAAATTTTACTGGAACACAGCCATGCTCACCTGTTTATGTATCATCTATGGCTGTTTTCACACTACAATAGCAGAGTAGTTATGACAGAAACCTTATGGCCTTCAAAGTTTAAATTATCACTAACTGGCATGTTACAGAAAAAATCTGCTAACCCTTAGCGTAAAGCATGCCACAGGAAACAAAAGTATCAAAAGCTCTTTAAAATAAATAGCTAATAGAGAAAATGAAATGCTTATTGAATATCATTATTACTATTTTTTAAAGAGGCTCTATGCCCAACGTGGGGCTTAAACTCACGACCCTGAGATCAAGCATCTCATGCTCTTCCAAATGAGCCAGCCAGGTGCCCCCAAGATATTATTTCTTTTCAAGATATTATTAACATAGTAGAAACAGTGCCCTACATCACACTTTACCACCTCTCTCTTATTTGTCCATCAAGACTAGCATTTCCTGGCTTTGCCAAACTTGTCATCCAATGGCTATATTCTGTGTGGCCATTATCTCACAACGTCATTACTTCCTACTAGAGTCTAAGCTACTTAAGAGCAGGAACTAAATTGCATTGATATTTATAAGCGCAACACCTGGGAGGGTTCCTGGCATATAACAGATGTTTAAAAAATGCATCCTGAATAAATGAGATAAAAAGAATGACAAATGAATACACTTAAGGATGGATTATATGTTAAGAGTAGAAAGGATCAATAAAATGAAAATGACATAAATTCCAAAAAAAGAAGTCACTTGTAGATTGTTTGTAACAAGTATTTTGAAGATTCAAGTTTTGTAAAACTTAAGTATGGAGTGCTTAAAGTAATATTACTTTATTTCAAACTCTCTTTAAATTTAGAAATTGTGATTCTAAAATTTGTTCCAGATTAGACAAAGGTTAATCTGTATTTCAGTGAGTAGCAACAATGCCTGGCAAGTAGTAAATTCATCTGTTCATTCAAAAAATGTTTGAGAGCCCAGTCCTCTGATAGGTAGTAGGTCGATATAAGGCTATGAAGACAGAGTTGATATTAGGGCTTCCCAAGGTAGGAGGATCAAGGTCAACTCTCCATGCTTTGGGAGAAGACTCCAAATGCCTCTACTCTATGAATAAGAGTAAACCAGAAAGACAGGTTTTCACAGGAACTGAAACTCAGTTTTAAATCATCTCAGTCACTAAACTGGATTGAGGTAATCCTGGTGTCTAGAAAAATGGAAGACACATAAATCTTATCCAGAGCAAGAAAATGCTATGTTAAGGTTCTCATAGTTTCTATACACAATTTTCCAAATACTATGTCTAGCTGATATACATACACATACATACAAATAAGTAACTAGGCTCACCGAACTCATCAAGTTGTATATATTAAATATGTTCAGCTTTTTGTATGTTAATCATACATCCATAAAGTATTTTAAATTTAAAAGAAATGAAATAATCAGGCATCTGAGGAAACAACAGAACATAAAAATAAAAGAGAGAGAAAGACAGAGTCCATGGGGCTACACATACTAGAATAGTCATGGACTTTAAAATACCATGCTAATTATGTAAAGAAAAAAGTTCTAGAACTAAAAAACTAAGAACTTAATGGATGGGTTTTAACAGCACATTAGAAGCAATGTAAGAGAGAATAGATATGAGAGAGAGGTTAGAAGAAAATATCCAGAATGAAGTACAAAGAGACAAAAGAATGGAAAATATGAAAGAGTGAGAGACAAACGGGATTTAATGAGAAGGTCTAACGTGCATATAATCAAATTTTCTAGAAGGAAAGGAGATAAAGAGAATGGACTAGAAATGCCTTTTGAAAATAATGGCTGTGAAATTTTTAAAAGCAACAGAAGATACCAAGGAATAAACTCAAGACACCCTATAAACCTCAAGTAGGTTGCCACTCTTAGACAATAGGTGCAGAAAATGTATTTAATAAATTTAACATCCACTAATAATAGTCTTAGAAGGGGGGCCTGGGTGGCTCAGTAGGTTAAGCATCTAACTTCAGCTTAGATCATGATCTCACAGCTCATAAGTTAGAGCCCTGCCTAGTCAATATATCCTAGAAGTCCTTGTCAATGTTTAAAAGGAAAAGTCATATTTCTATAACATCTTGTTACATTAAAGAACTGCAAATGAAACCAGTGAGACGCTACTTCACATCTAGTAGAATGGCTAAAATCCAAAACTGGAATCAAATGTCTGCAAGGATGTGGCGCTCTCTTTCACTGTTGGTAGGGGTGTAAAACAGTACAGTCACTTTGGAACACAGATTGGCATTTTCTTACAAAGCTAAACATAGTCTTACCATTGGATCCAGCAATTGCACACCTAGGTATTTACCCAAATAGGTTGAAATTTATGTTCATACAAAACCTGCACAAAAATGTTTATAGCAACTTTATTCACAAGTGCCAAAAATTAGAACCAGAAGTGTCATTCAACAAGTGAATGGATAAACAAATTGTAACAATCTAGGCCATGAAATACTAATCAGTGACAAAAAGAAATGCACTATCAAGCCACAAAAAGACATGGAAAAAACATTGTCTTTATATTTCTTCCCTTCTGCTCCTGTGGGTTCAGTTTGCCATCTTTTGCCAGTGTCTTAAGGTACAATGTTAGATGCTTTGTTAATATAGTCTCTATACATGGGGAACCTGGGTGGCTCAGTCTGCTGAGTGTCCAACTTTTGATTTCAGCTTAGGTCATGATCTCACAGTTTCCGAGACTGAGCCCTGCATTAGGCTCTGTGCTGGCAGTGTGGAGCCTGCTTGAGATTCTCTCTCTCTCCCTCCCCCCGCCACTCTCAAAATAAATACATAAACTTTAAAAATTAAAAAAATAAGGGGCGCCTGGGTGGCACAGGCGGTTAAGCGTCCGACTTCAGCCAGGTCACGATCTCGCGGTCCGGGAGTTCAAGCCCCGCGTCAGGCTCTGGGCTGATGGCTCGGAGCCTGGAGCCTGTTTCCGATTCTGTGTCTCCCTCTCTCTCTGCCCCTCCCCCGTTCATGCTCTGTCTCTCTCTGTCCCAAAAATAAATAAACGTTGAAAAAAAAAATCAAAAAAATAAAAAATATATATAGTCCCTATACATAATAGTCTTGCTATTATTTTCTATTTAAACACTGATCTTGGTGCAACACATAATTTGGTATGTTTTCATTTTCATTCATCTCAACGTATTTTCTAATTTCTCTTAGGATTTCTTCTTTTACCTACTGGTTATTTAAAAGTACATTGTTTGGGGGCACCTGGGTGGCTCAGTCAGTTGAGCGTCTGACTTCGGCTCAGGTCATGATCATGCGTTCATGGTTTCGAGACCTGTATTGGACTCTGGACTGACAGCTCAGAGCCTGGAGCCTGCTTTGGATTCTGCGTCTCCCTCTCTCTCTGCCCCTCCTCTGCCCACACTCTCTCTCTCTCAAAAAATTAAAAAAAAAAAAAAAGTTAAAATATGTGTAAAGTACACTGTTTGATTTTCATATATTTTTGAACTCTCCACATTTTTCTGCTAATTATGTTTAATTATGTTTTTAAGGATTTTATTTTATTTTAGCATTTATTTATTTATTTTGAGAAAGAGAGAAAGAGAGCAAGCACGAGCAGGGGAGGGGCAGAGATTCCCAAGCAGGCTTCACGCTGACAGAGGACAGCCCAATGTGGGGCTTGAACTCACCAACTGTGAGATCAAGCCCTGAGCCAAAACCAAGAGTCAGACACTTAACCAACAGAGCCACCCAGGCGCCCCATAAGGATTTTATTTTTAAGTAATCTACACCCAACGTGGGGCTTTAACGCACAACCTTGAGATCAAGAGTCACATGCTCTACCTACTAGGCTAGCCAGGAGCCCCATATCTGTTATGTTTAATTTCATTCATTATCAGAGAAATATTTTGTATAATTTCAGTCCTTTTAAATTTATTAAGGCTTGTATTATGGTGTAGCATGTGATCTATCCTGGAGAACATTCCATGTACACTTAAGAATGTATATTCTGTTGTTACTGGAGATCTCTATAAAAGGTCTAGTTAGCTTATACTGTTGTCCAAGTTTTCTATTTCTTTGTTGAGCTTCCGTCTAGCTGTTTTATCCATTATTAAAAGTGGAGTGTTGAAGTCTCCAACTATTACTGTTGAATTGTCTATTTTCCCCTTCAATTCTGTCAATTTTTGCTTCATTTGTTTGAGGCACTGTTACTACATACATATATGTTTATAATTGTTATATATTTCTGATGGATTGACTTATCATTACAAAATGTCCTTCTTTATCTCTAATAACATTTTTTGTTTTAAAGTCTATTTTGGGGTGCCTGGGTGGCTCAGTTGGTTGAGCATCTGACTTCAGCTCAGGTCATGATCTCCTGGTTTGTGAGTTTGAGCCCCGCGTCGGGTTCTCTGCTGACAGCTCAGAGCCTGGAGCCTGCTTTGGATTCTGTGTCCCACCTCTCTCTCTGCCCTTCCCCTGCTTGCACTCTGTCTCTCTCTGCCTCTCAAAAATAAAGAAATAAAATAAAAAAAATTTTTTTTAAAGTCTATTTTGCTGGATATTAGCATACCCACTTAGTTTATGGATGCTGTTTGCATGAGAGATCTTTTCCATCCTTTTACTTTTTACTGATTTGTATTTTTGAATCTAAAGTGTTTCTCCTATAGACAGCATGCAGTTGGATCTTCTTTTTTATCAGTCTAAAATCACAATGAGAGAGCACTATTTAAGTACCAAAATGGCTAAAATAAAAAAAAAAAAACAACCTGATAGTATCAATTATGATGGTAAATGAAATAAGAAGTCCTCTCATTGACTGATAGTGGGTATGTGAATTGTCAAAAACTGTGGGAAACTTTTTGACATTATCCACTAAAGGTGAAGATACACATATCCATCCATGCCCTAAAAATTCCGTTCCCATGTATAGATGTAACAGAAATGCATTTATATGTACTTCAAAGACAATATTAGTCATAATTGCCCCAAACTAGAAATAACTCAAATGTACATGAACAGAAGGGATAAACAGATAGAGATATAATCATATATTGAACACTAAATAGCAATGAAAATGTAAGAAAATTAATTTATACCCAATATGGGTATATTTCATAAATATAATATTAAACAAAAGGAGTCAGACACAAAAAAATAAACACGGATTCCATTTATACAAAATTCAAAAAAAATTCAGGTAAAACAAAAAGATAGTGTTAAGAAAGAAACATATAAGTAAAAAAGTGGAAAGGAAATCTGATACACAGTTTCATAATGTTCTGTTTCTTGATTTAAATAGTGCTACACAGGTGTTTGCTTCACAGTGTTATCACTGGGTGGTATAGTTTTGTTTTGTTCCGTTTTCTATTATGTGTTATGACTCACAATAAAAAGGTTTAAAAAAAACCGAGTAAAGATTCCTTGTATTCTATCCCAATACGTAGTGGACGCCTAATTTTCCCTGAAATAATCAAATTATTATCTTTACTCCTTTAATTTTGTCTTTCCTGTAGTCCATACACACACACATACACAGGCACACACAATCTTTCCTTACCTCAACCAGGTTCTGTAAAATCCAGGCCAATCTCAAAGAAACATGCTGGTTTGTAAAACTGAACATACTGACTGCAAAAAATCGTTTACTTCTAGTGAAAAAGTGTAGCACTCGGCAGGAGCTCTGTATCAGCTGTTAAGAAAAAAGATATTTTAGGAAAATGCACTTAATGGTGTTTGATATTTCTATATTAATTCTACACATATGAAAACAAACCCCATAACAAATCATTCAACTACTTCTAGTGTTCTCAGCACCTAAGAACATGAAGTAAAGCAATGTTACCCCAAGTGGACATTTGTATTCTAACATACGAGATATAACACATCTACTCTGTCCTTCTTTAATAAACACAAAAAGCTCAAGATAAAGTCTTTTATTTTATTATTATTATTTTTTTTAATGTTTATTTATTCTTGAGACAGAGACAGAGCGTGAACAGGGAGGGGCAGAGAAAGAGGGAGACACAGAATCTAAAACAGGCTCCGAGCTGTCAGCACAGAGCTGGACGCAGGGCTTGAATCCACGAACTGTGAGATCATGACCTGAGCCTAAGTTGGACGCTTAACTGACCTGAGGCACCCCTCAAGATAAAGTCTTTAAAAAAAAAAAAAAAAAAA